GGACAGACCATCTTTACATTACATATGTTCACAAAGTAGAACAGTACAGGCCCTTTGTAGATCAATAATATGCAGCCTTCCTTCCGTCTGTAAATACCAATAAAAGCAGAACGTGTGTCATCAGTAAATCTGTACCGGACTCTGTTTGGGCAGTACCAGCTGCACCAGGGAGGGTGTCGGCTGTTTTCTGCCTTCAGTAGCACGCTTCTGGTATGTACCATGTGGTAATCCTGTTTTTCCCTCTCCGCCATCACCGCTGTGGAATTCCTCTCGTTGTCTCCATGGCCTGACATATATGGGCATGAGTGTGTGTTTCCTCCTTCGTTAATCCGCTGTTTGTTGGCCGAGTTAACAGCAGTGACTCACTGAGAGAAAAGCTCCTACAAGGACACACACGGAGTAAGGCTTCGTCACTGCCACTGCAAGGACACACAATAAAGCTCACCTGCCGTCAGGTGAGCTTCCTGATGTTTTCGGTGCATTTGGTCGTCGTCAGGACTTGTCACCTCAACCAGAACCTTCGGTACAGAACAGGAGGTTGTCCACGCTTGAGCAGCACAAAACCAAGTTAGCTAAGATCAGCCTTCATGTACAAAGACTTCCAGTGCAACACAAAACAGGCCTCCGCTGTGAGGGGATGGATGGTCGCGGTCAGGAGACTGACTCGGAGCAGATAACTAGTAGTAGTAGTAGAAGAGAACTAGTGCTAGTAGATAACGAGTAGTAGTAGAGAACTAGCTGTAGATAACTCGTACTAGTAGTAGATAACTAATGCTTGGAACTGGTTTGCAGTAGAATGTAACATCAGAGCTTTACTGAAATGCTCGTCTTTCTGCTAAATTAAAGGTGTTCAGTCGTCCTCCTTCAGCGTCGACAGGCTGCTGCTGCTGGTGACTGTAACCAATAGAAACAGGGCTGTGGCGGGGCATTGGTGCATCGCTGGAGCACTGAGGACACAAAGAGAGGCAGAAACCCTGTAAACTGATTTATGTTATTAGGAATCCGTTAACAATAATCAGGACCGCAAAAATGCTGAATGTGGGATTGGATAAATGGCCAGGCGGATAATTGGGCAATCCCTAACAGAACCAATCCCCCAGAAAACCAGAACCCACCATACGAATGCATGATCCCCAGTGGGCAGAGTCCTGTCCACAGAAAGGTTCTGTTCTCCTGCCTTTCTCTAAATCACCTCATGCTGCATCAGTGAGCTTCCCTCCTCACACCAGCTCCACTCCTGAAATGGCAGACTGTGGTTCTAATGGTGCATATGGGCACATACGTGTTATGATACGACTCTCCTTATTTCCATCGTGTGTGTGTGTGTGTGTGTGTGTGTGTGTGTGTTGACAGAGACAGAAGGAATATTCCAGAAATGATTGATGCTTTTGTTTTCTTGCCTGTTGCAAGAGACAAAGAAAGAGATGAAGAAACAGATATGTAGGCAGTCAGAACGACCAGAGATTTGTCTGTGTGTGTGGTGTGTGCTCACGTGCACGCCTGTGTGTGGTGTGTGCTCACGTGCACGCCTGTGTGTGGCGTGTGCTTACGTACACGCCTGTGTGTGGCGTGTGCACAGGTGGGTCTTTATCTCGGCAGTCAGACTTCTGTAGGCTGATGTCGGGAACGTTGCTGTTTGAATAAACAGACGGCTGGTGAGGCGGCTTCATCATCAGGACAGCTGTCTGGATGTCTCCCTGTGTCCTGTGGTCCAGGCTGACACCGGTGGGGTCCAGGGGGAGCTGGACTTTGGTGACACTGATCACAGCCTTCACTCTCTGTACCGCTGTTTAGCATGTTTGCTCTTCAGACCCAACAGCCCCACGTTCAGTTTAAAGCTCTACTGTCACCTGTACCTGCTGGGTGGGTCACACACCTGTGTTTAACATCTAACAGACTGTTTCTGTTTGCTTTTGTTCCCCTGTGTGTGTGTGTGTGTGTGTGTGTGTGTGTGTGTGTGTGTGTGTGTGTGTGTGTGTGTGTGTGTGTGTGTGACAGTATGGACAGAATCCAGCAGCTAAGGAGAGAATACCAGCAGGCCAGGAGAGAGGGCATGGTGCCGCCTTACGAGGAGCTGGACCCACGGCGCCGAGGGCAGGACAGCGAGCCACACAGGGTGAGCACAGCTCTCCCATACAGACACACACATGACAGAAATGCAGCTCTCACTGCCTCCTCGTCTGAAACATGTCCTGTCCTTATATGTCTAAAGCCTGTGATCAGGTTGTCGTGCTTTAACCATCGTGTGCTCCCACCGGCGCTACAGTTCTGTGTGTTCTGTGTGTTCTGTGTATTTGTGAAATCTCTTATTCTCTAACAGGCATCAGGGTGATCACTGCTTTTATTGCGCCTGTCGAGTGATCAAGGCCCTTTAGCTGTCAGTGGCAAGGTGCTCTTTGACGTGAATGGCTCCTTTAGGCATGGAGCTGATAGCGCTGATATGAGACACACAGGAGATGAGTCGAGCTTTTACTCACTTGTCATCCTTCAGATCGGCTTTTTTTTCTTCAAATAGCAGAATCATAATCGCATCCGCACAGATTTGCTTGTGAGTCACGCTGAGGAGCACGTCTGTGGTAATAGTGGCAGATTATGAATGTGCTGCCCACGTTGGTACCAGGTGTCGCCTCCAGTGACTGGGCCTGGTGCTTCTGGTAGTGAAGAGCAAGTGCATGTCAGGATGTTGTTGAGTGTCACGTCTTATTCTTCAGAAGCCATTTCACTTGTTCAACCAGACGTTGGCGGTATCGTCTCCGCTTGCTGCTTCACATGCTTTATTTAGCTTTAGCTGTTTGTATGTTTTATAACTGATCACTTTGAGGCGGAAAGTTCTAGCATTCTTAATATATGCTCAACTTTTGCCTGCCTAGATGTCAACTCAACAACTCAACCAGTGGGATGTGAAGGCATCACCCCCTGCTAGCTGCTAGCTTGAAAGCAGGTTTAAGGCACCTATGGGTTGGCTTCACTTGTCAGAGTCTACATTTAGCTTTCATATATAGTCCATGCTTTACCCGCTATAGTCAGAATAATGCTGAACTCTGGACGATGTGTCAGACATCGTGGAAGGAAGAAAACGTAGGCGGACTAGCTCGCTTATCTTCTTTTTTTATACATTAAAATGGTCACACTCAGTTAAACTGGTGGGATTGTTTCCACCACAGAGAACCTTCTGATTCAGGTACCAACTAAAGCTGATGGCGTTTCCTCTGTTGAAATGACGTGAACATACAGGATGAGTAAAAACTCAACACGTTACCTTGAACGTGGCTCCAGACAGATTTTCTTCACCAGCTGTGGTAAAAACAACAACTCCCATGATTCCTCAGTCCTTCCTGACAGTATTCAACGATATATTTCCATGTTGTTTTGGTTGAGACACAAACTGTGTTTAAGTCTCAGCTGTACAGATCCACAGTGACAGGCTGCCTCCACTCCTGTCCTGTCCAGTCAGGTGCATCCTGAAAGCCGCTCGGCTTTGCCTCTTCCTGTCACACTGACCTTCCTCTGAGACACGACCAAAGAGGGGAAATGCAAGTTAAAGCCAAACACACGACTGATTTTTGTTGATGCGTATGGGTACGTTACATACAGGTGTGCAGTAGAAAAGAGAGGAGCTCCACGTAGACCCAATGAAGTCGGGGATTTACTGCAGAGGAACACGGTTCCCTGATGCCTCCAGAGACTGCATGAACATCACAGAGCACATAGAAGGAGTAAATAAGCCAGAGGACTGTCACACTGACGTCTCCATGGCTTTGTGGGGAGCGAAGAAAAAAAACATTCTGAGCAACCAAATTTAGTTCATCACCATGGAGCTAAAATTAATCTGCTGTGACAAATGGCCAAGTTTACTGCAGTACACCACAGTTTCAGCGCTGCCCATGAGCTCCTCACGTCAGCTCAGCGGGACAGTCGGAGGCTTCGCTCTGTGCAGCCGGATGCTGTCAAACAGCATCATGGTGTCGTTAGCAGATAGACATCATGCACACATGCTTTAGGGCTGGGAGGGGACGTCAACACAGATCGCTACTTGATTTATTTGTGACTGAAACAAGATGAGTTTTGATTCGTTGTTGGAGTTTTTGTTGTTTAGTTTTATTATGTCCACATCTGAGCAACTCATAATGTAGAAAAACCCTCAGGAGTGTTAAATGCTGACCTGAAGGTCGGAGCTTTACTGCACGTCTGTGTGCCTGTAAGGTATTGATAAGGTTCAAGAAACTGTATTGTCATTAAGTGTACAACTAGACTAAGGTGCACGGTCAGGACAAGGGCTTAGGAAAGAGAGAATAAATAGAATAAATAACAACAAAAGAAAAAGCGTCAGAGCTGCTTGCAGGTGTAACGTCTATTTATTTAGATTTTAGGCAGAAAAATGTTCCTGTAAACATGAAATAAAATCATTCTGTCTTGAAAAGCTTTTATAGTTTGAATGTGAGATTGTGAAGCTTCCTAAAGTTCTTGATGACAACTCTCAGGTTTAATTGGGTGTCCTTCCTCTGCTCTGGTGAAGACGACCCACTCTGGATCAGTACGTCCTAGAAATGTACTAACAGGCTTGAAATACCTGTCTTTGACTTCTGGACAAAAGTAATTAGTTCTGGGTTTCTATAACATTGTTATTGGTGTTAGTCACAGTTTTAGATCAAACAAGGCAAACAGACCAATCATAAAACACTCTTCAGTTTCTGCCCGTTTGACTAGTTTTTAAAAAAATAAAGTATGTTTACTGGGTTTTAACCTAAAACAGAAACCCTTGAGTGGTTTGTAATTTCATCCCTCTGCCGCTGCATCCACACTGTGCTTCTCCAGACTTGTACCTGGGCCTCTTTAATTCACATCTAAAAGTCATTTGGTTTGTGACCAGCCGGGGGCAATCGTCTTTCCCCCGCGATCGATAGCCTCACATTACACTGCTGTGTGCCTCCAAATAAGAAAACTTTGTTGTTATTTATAAAGCCCAGAGTGAGAGCAATTAGCATGCTTCAGAGGTGGAAATTAAGTTTGAAGTTTGAAAGTTAAAAAAAAGGGAAGAGAAAAAAAGAATCAAAAGAAAAGCGGAGCAGCAGCCGCAGCACCTAACAAGCCCCCCTCATTAAGGATGATGCATTTATTAATTAAAGCAAGAGCCATTATTTACCTGGCTGGCTTTCTGCGGGAAGGGGAGGGGGAGAAGTAATGGTTATGGGCTGAGCCGATGGCAAACTAATTCAATTTCACTTTTATTGGTCTGTTTGTTTCTCCTTAAGACATTTTTATCCGTATGTAGGATTATCAGAGTGACTGTGAAAAGTAAAAGCAGTGGAAGCTGCAGTGTAGCGAGAGGCGGAGACAACATGGAGACACGAGCAGCAGTCGGAGGGAGAGCTCCTCAGACAGCGGTGTCACGCTGTACTGACGGTGTGTGTTTTCCCCCCATGGCTCCATTACCATTCCTCTGATTCATGCTTATGGGTTAGCTGTCTCCGCAAGCAGCATTATGTTTGCCTAAAAACAATTATCAAGCAACAAAAGCCACAACTTAGTTTCCAAGTGAGTGCACTGTGTGTGTGTGTGTGTGTGTGTGTGTGTGTG